TTTGACACTTTATTTTCGTGAGTGAAAAGCCTGTTCCATGTGCGAATACCTGGAGTCCCCAGTGCCCAAGAACTATGTCACTATCAGGAAACGGGAATCTGTCCCCCGGCTGGCGTTTCTCTCTCCTTCTAATGCAACGCATTTTATGCGGTTATGATCGACAATTAGATTAACTTGGTCTTTTCCACCCACCCTTGCTGCATATGTTTTATCTCGAAATACTGCCTACTATTGCAGAAAAGACGACAGAGAATGCGGGTAGATTAATGTACTCTGTTTCGGGCTAACTCGGCCTTCATTCGACCAATCATAACCCCGACTACTAGCTGGCACTAGAATAAATACTCGATCTGCAGCAGCAGCGACTGAAGAGTGGCGAGACACGGATGAGCTTTGGTTCTATGAAATGCTTACGATCCATCTGCTAAAACCAATCTGTGGACTATCCGCACCGCGCTCGAGTGCATGTTTGTATTTTCAGTCCCAGCTAGTAGTCAGGGTTATGATGGGCCGAATAAAGACTAAATAAGCCCGAAACGGATTATATTAATCTAGTCGCATTCTCTGTCGCCCTTTCTGCAATAGTAGGCAGTATTTTGAGGTAAAAATATGAAGCAAGGGTGTGTGTGTGGAAAAAACCAACTTAATCTAGCTACCGATTATAATTGCATAAAATGTGATGCACGAAAAAGAGGGAGAAACGCAAGTCCGGCACAGATTTCCATTTCCTGGTATTGACACAGCTCACAGACACTGAGGAACTCAGGTATTTGTGCGTAGGACAAGCTTTGTACTCCTACAGTTGACTGAAGTGAATATCCCATTTTCCTTCATCAACATCACTGCGTCCAACTTGAAATCGTCCGACGCTTTTCTAGCAGCACTGGTGAGATAGATGATTTATTTCGAATGCTTGCAGAAGGCACGTCTATAGCGGCGTAGGAAGAATGCAAGTCCTTGTGACTGCATAACAAATTACCTATGCAACCGTTGGTTAAAGGGTTTAGTTGAGATATGACTATCTTAGGCCCAGTTCTCACACGTTCCGAATTGCTCAAGACAGCGGATACAAGGGGATGAGAGGGGATACTTAAATGTTGGATACGCTTGATGCATGTTGTAGATGTTTTAGAGGCCAATTATGCGACAGAGATTTGGGCAAGTTGAACTGAACTTCTCCTGTGCCATGGAGGCCCCCAAGGCCGATTGCAACGATGATAGCTGTTGAAAAAGAAAGAGGTCAGTGGGTGGAGGGGGCAAGGGCATTCTGAACCAATTTACCTCCGAAACACTGGCTGTGAAACCGGAAGATATCGGAGCTGACAAGTATGGAGCCGTAGTAGGTGAAGGCTGCGCCAAACCAAATAATGGGCAGGAGGAGAGAGGTGCAGAGGTAGCCTTTTGCAAAGAGGTGCATAACATTGCCGAGCGAGGATTCCTATAAAAGAGGGGGAAAGAGAGAGAACAAAGTCTTAACCTTGCACATATCCCACTCGGTTTTTCCTCTACTGCCTACAAAAGCCATCACAGCTCAGCTGAGAGCCTACAATTCGAAGCAAGTTAATTAAATTTTTCGCGGAAGTGAGGGGTGGAAAGTATATAATGGAGTTAAGCTGCGTGATACAGCATGTCTGACTTAGCGGTGAGTCGTAAAAGGAAGGACAAGATACTTCGCACATAAGATCCCTTTTAATGTCAGCCATTTTGTCTATTTGAACAGTTCCAGCCACTAAGGTTGTTCGAAGTAGACGTGGTATAATGTGCTGCGTCAAGAAGAAGAATAAAAGGTAAACTAGAGTACACTTACTACCGGCAGCCAAGCTTTCGTAGTGGTGTCGGCTTTAACTGTAAACACATCTATCAATAAATCCTATGGACCACTTGAATATGCCGAGGGCAAAATAGAATAATTACGGTAACAAACTCCAGCTTTAAAATAAAATACTAAAATTTACTTGGGTAGACAAATTTCAAGCTCTTCCGTACAGTTACGAATCAAACGCCAACGCAAATAAACAGGCTCCCTAGAATACACCGTCAGCAGATCTTTAAAAAGCAGTGGAAAAGGCTCAAACGAAAAAAGTCATGAAAATGGTAAAGGTGGGAAAGTGGTAACTAGCTTAACTGTTCCACAGGTATGAACAAAACGGACTTGTTTACAGTGAGAATTTATGAATTGCAGAGAAAACACGACGCATTATACTTAGTTTATCGACCAACTTTAGCGTCACTTTCCCCCAAAAGCCGAATTTCAGACAGCAAAACAACTCCAGCAATAAGAAAATAAAACATTTCGGGTAAATTGATCCTATATAAGCCTTGCAGGGGGTGGGGTGGATTTTAAAAGGCCCGCCGTTCGATTTAAGTTACGCCCAGAGGACAGCACAGTTCTAAGATCAACAATCAAGTAACTATAGGCACTGCAGTAATCAGTAGCCGCCTATGCTACTATCTGCTGTTCAGTTGCTGGCGAAACTCGAGAGTTAGTCTCAATATAGAACGGGACGAGTGAGTCTCCTAATCAATCATGAGTGCCCATCCATCAATAATTAAGAAACTGTGTAAACTATTCAAGTCCGGTTGCGTAAATTTTGATTGTGAACCGCGGTGGGGATATGCTCAGAGGAATGGAGACTTAAACAGATTATAAAACAACAGTAACATGTTATGTAATTAGTTGAGGCCTAGACAGAGAGAGAGTGTCAAATGACTGAATACGAGAGACGCAATTGGCAGCTGGTATAGGACCTGCACATGAATGAAGTTATCCCACTGAGGAAGTGCTTATGAATTCAAAAAGGCAAAAGATCGAGAAAAGGTAAATCCGAAACTGGAAGGTAGAGGCAGCCCGGTGTTCCAACTAATGGTTCACTGGCTGCTTCCGGGAATGGGGAAAATGTAACTTTAAGCATAACAGACCGACAGGTTTTTGGTGACTTGCATAAAATAAAACCTCCAGGTGACCCCAAAAAGCAACCGAAGAGTCGATTTTGAATCATACGATAGGGTTCCGGGGAACCGACAGGTTCTGCTACCTCCATCCAGTGATTCGAGTGAATACTATGTGAGTCAAACTGCTAATTCGGGAAAAATGACCTTATTATCTCAGGCTAGAGCGTGCGAATAAAAACCTTATCAACTCTGATGAGGCGCAACATGCAGCAATGGCTGATGTCTGTTAGATGCTCAGTTCGAACTCTGATTCGAAAAAATCACGATCCCAGAAGTGATAGCCCGCTCTCCTCTAGCGTAGCTGCTCATGCTGCGCCCGGGTTAGGCATATAGTGGCTAGTGCGGTAAGACTTAAAATAATAAGGCGCAAATAGCGCTTGCCAAGCGCCTCACTCCCACCAACTACTTTTAAACAACGCGACAACGCGCCAAGCATTGTCCAACATGCCAAGTGGGCAATTTCGACTGTTTACTCAGCCAAACGCCCTAGCAACAGTGGAAAGCGACGGTCTCTGGGACTTCTAAGAGGTCCTACTTAGGGAAGGAAAAGTAGGAGCCAGAAAAAAGAACTATGAACACGGCTGAATTAGCCCCAGGGGTCAGATAATTGTGAGTGTTGGAGGCTATTCCCAATTAAAATAGGGCACATATGCGGAGCAGTCACGTCCAAGACCCCTCCACCAGAGTGACCAGTCATTAAAACGAAGAGGACTTTTCATAGTCTGTCCATATGTTTGGCAAAAGGTAGGCGTCGCCGCCGTGAATAAAACTCGACTCGGTAAGGGTGACTTGCATGGATACGGAAGTAGAAACGCCCCGCCCACTTAAAACAGGTAGGCTTGTGATACATTTTAGGAAGAGTAAAAATTCCCATGTGTTAACCCTAGCAGTAACTCTAACATAAAACTAAACTGTAGGCTTAACCGTAACTCCATCCATAACTTAAACCTAAACCCTATAGTTATCACATACCCAGACCTTAGCCGTTAACATGATCCTGACCCTTACTCCAAACTTTACCCTAACCTTCACCTTTTCCTAAACTGAATTTTACCGGGATTTGGCGCGAAAGCGCATGTAGTGCGAGCGGTTCCCGTTCTCGGGTCTTGAAAAGGTGGTCATCCTTATTATCGAATGTCGAAACACGGACAACAACAGGAAGTGTAAGCGAGGCTGAGCGTTGGCATGGAGTAGTTGTTTGAAAGACGAACGCCGTAACGGAAGAGTTTTTTGCCATCGGAAACGATCTCGTGAGGAAGCTTACTGTCCTCTAAAAGGAACAAATGCTCGATGCAGTAGACTGTGCTGGGGAGAATGATAATTGTTATCAGCCCTAGGAGGAAAAGACATACGAAATTCAGTTCCGTTGAATAAGTGAAGTAGTATGCATTCTGAGATGATAAAGTGAAAAGAAAGAAGTTCTTCAGAAAATAGAGTTGTACTCGTGAATTATCAAGCAGATAACAGGGTTATGGTTAGTGTTAGGTTAGGGGTAGGACAGGGGAATATTTGCGTTTCCTGGAATGTTGCGCAAGCCCGCTGGCATTAGCGGGGTTACTAGTCCAGTGTTTTACCAAAAACTACAGCATTAAAAGACATGTCGAGCTCAATTCACATTACGAAAGCCTGCGTATAAGGCCTACTGCCTCGCACCCCCAACAGTTGCTTATCAATACTCGGCCGAGTGGAAATGCCCCAATGCGGCATCCCTCCGACACGTGAACCCTATCTGACTTTCGACACTCCCTCCTCTCCTCACCCACAACACTAACCGTGACATATTTATCCCCCCCGCCCGCTGCCATGAACATTTGTCTACCTGCCTCCCCCCACCAAACGCTCTAGTGCGACAATCCCACTCTCCACCTTTCATTTCGCCTGACGACCGGCCGGTAGTACCTACTTGAGGACCTTCTTGATTTCCATTCAATTCCATTTCTTCTTTGGGTCACAGATAGCAACTTCGATGTGAGGTAGGCATAAACCCTGTCCGCACAAAA